CGTGGAAACGAAGAGAAGGATCGTGTGGCTCTCCTTTTAGGAAACCAAATTTCTAAAACCATGCAAGGAGAAGAATAGAATCCTTCCAGGCCCAATATTTACCAAGAGGGAGACCTTCCTCTCTGCCAATGGTCCGGAGGGTCACCCTGGGTCTCAGTAGAGGAAAAGTCGTAGGCCCTGGGCCAGAGTGCATGTCTGCTAGTCTAAGGGAGAGGAGAGGACCAGAAGCACCAGAGCACATGATTTATTTCTGGTCATAAAGGAATCAATTACTGTACTAGGAGAAAGCAGCAATTTTTTTTTCTACTCTGCTTTTGCAATCATCTTTCTTCTCCGTTTTTATTTCATTCTCATTTAGCTATAACTGAGGAGTACTCGGTCCACTCTTCCCCATTTATTTTCCGTCATGTCATTTTATTTTACATTGAGAACCCATATCCTTGTTTACATGTAAATAACTAACTGTTATTCATGCTTATTTAAAAACAAATAAAAAGAGACCACTAATTATCAAAATTGTTTGAAATATACCATTTTTGGCAAAAGATCCCTTATTACTATGGATCACTTTTCATTATTTAAGCATGGTTTTTTGCTCTTTTTCTCTCAGGGATTGGATTTAAAGAATTGAGCTTTGGAATAGCCAAAGAAAGACTGAAAACTCTTTGGGTATAAATCGGAGGAAACTACTAAAATGCTAAGAATCATGTTGTCGTCTACTATTGCTTTTTGGTAATGGAAGTACAGCTTGGTACACTCCTCAGAAGAACATCCTTATATTTTTAAATTGCAAGTGTTCAATTATGTGCAAGGGTCACAGCAGAACTGATCTGAAGGAGCTCAATTTTAAAATCCCTTTAAAAATCTGGACAAAGGATGCCATAGTATTAAACTAAAATGTTTCAAAACAAAAAGTATTATGCGTGCCCCATGGTGGAAGATCAGATTTTTATTAATGCAAGTTTTAAATGCTGATTAATCCTCTTGAGAGTCAGTTTCCCAAAGCATTGGATTGTATTCAAGTCGTTTTCAAAACGGCACATCACTTCCAATATTCTGAATATTAATTGAACAACATTATAACTAAGGATACAAAGCAAGATTTAAAACAGGATTACAGCTGTCAGTGCTTACATCTAAATAAGTCATTGGAAATTCAAGCATTAAAGAGAAAAATGTTGTAAATCGGTCTTAGCAGAACAGTGAAGCTCTCTCTCTTAGCCGTTTTAAAAAATAAATCTGATGCTTTAGGACCCAAGAGAGCTTCAGCTATGACTTGGCCTTGTATTTATATGGGCAATTTCTGATCAGAATTCAGAAATCAAAGGTAGATTTTTTTACTTGTGATTCGACACCGCATCAAGGACATTTTCTTGGGGAAGAAGGAGAAGAAGAGCCAGAGAATATTATCCAGTTGATAGAATCTTCACATTTCCTTATTTTCTATTTCTATTTCAGTCTCTGTCCACACTCAAAAATCAAAGAATTAGCCTGACTTAATCAAACAAAATATTACTGTGTTTTCAGAACAACTTATTCAGCTCATAGTCAAGCAACTACAAGTAACTAATGACTTATTTTTACAATAATCAATTTTTGTCTAAATTCAACTTCTTTTATCTCTCAAATCTAGTTTGGGGATTGATAAAATCCTCATCTCTCCACCAGATGCAATATAAAATACTGGCTTCTATTATAACCATGGGGAATTTTAGTTTCGTTTTGTTTCTTTAAATGGTTGCTGTGCATTTGAGTGATAGCTCTTTGTTCGAAAAGATGCAAAAGCCACTCTAACATCTAAGTCTAATGAGATAAATGGCATTATGAAGGGAATATTAAAAATTTACAGCCCTTTTTACTAAGTTTATTTGTCAGCCGTACATGCTGAATATTGCATAGCGCACACACACACACACACACACACACACACAAGCATACAGTCCTAACGATGAAAAAGATATGAGGAGATAATGATGCAATCATAACACGTCTGATGGAGTTTGCATATCTCGGTTGCTGTTTGGCATGTTATTTAATTGTATTGCGCCAAACTGGCAGAATCACACAATATGTTAGTGTAAAGGGTCCACAGTTTAAAGGGAAAATCTAGAAGTGTTGACTATACACTGTCTAATTATACAACCTTGCTGTCCCAGAATGTGATTTCAGAAACCATTTCTGACATATGGGAAAAGGGTAGAACAGCTGGTCATTAAGGTTTTCTCAAGACTATTTAGCAACACACTTGAATGTAATTAAAGTGAGACACTAAATACTGCACTTGTGGTACAATGTATTTTTAATTTTTATGGCATGTGGTAAAAGTAAATAGATGCAAAGCATTCAAGTTTCTCCATTCGGCATCCAACTTGTCAAAGACACACTGTCTGGCTGATTCCAAGCAGTGTCCTGGTGTTAGTCATAGACATCCATTTGGGGTATTTAAGACTGTCTTTAAGGGACTGAATTTGGCAATACACAGATGAAATGTCAATTTGGGACCCTCAGACAAAGCACGAGATGAAATTCATTTGTTCATTCATTCATTCATCCAACACAGCTGGGATTATTTTAAGTGGGCATTATTTCTGCCCTCAAGTTGCTTGCTGCTTACGTTGCTTAAAAAGTGTGATAGATGCTCATTAAAGGGTGCTATGACAGCACCAAGAAGGAGTCTGGTCCACACTGGAGGCCTCCCCTGAATAAGAATTATTTTAGTCAGCCAAAAAATGGTGACAGTCAGGAGTAAGGAGTACGAATGAGGGAAGAAAAATAGTCCAAGCAGAAGGAGCAGCTAAAGCAAAGCCTTGGAGACAAAAAGGAATATGATAATATGAATACAGTCTTGACCTTTATTGAACAATTTATAATGTTCTGGCACTAGGCTAAGGCCTTGACATATATTGTCTCATTTAATCCTTACAACAACTCTATGTGGTAAGTACTATTATTATACTTTACAAATGAGGAAACTAACAGGCTAGTTTGTGGCAAAGGAATTAGCAGGTAACTGAACCACAGTTCAAGCCCAGGTTTGTGTGAGTTCCAAGTCAATATCTTTTCTCCAAAAGCCCCTTCCCAATTGACATATATGTATACTGCATGTATATTTAGCTTTCAAAGAAGTTAGAGTGTAAATACATTCATTCTTATAAAAACCCTATGATTAAGAGAATGAAAAGACAAGCTGCAGACTGGGAGAAAATATCTGCAAATCACATATCTGACAAACGATTTGTATCCAGAATATATAAAGAACTCTCTAAACTCAACAGAAAAAAAAATCAGCCAATTAAGTAAATGAGCAAAAGATACAGGATGGCAGATAACCAAATGAAAAAATGCTCAACATCATTAGCTATTAGGGAAATGCAAATTATACCACAGTGAAATACCAATACCTGTGTTATAATGGCTACAATAAAAATAATGACAATGTCAAGTGCTAGCAAGGATGTACAGCAACTGGAACTTTCACACATTGCTGGTGGGAGTGCAACATTGTACTGTCACTGTGGAGAGTGTTGGCAGTTTCTTAAAAAGTTAAACATAAACTTACCATATGACCCAGCAAACTCACTCCTAGGTATTTAAAATAGAGAAATAAAAACTTATGTTCACATAAAAACCTGTATGTAAATATATAGAATAACATTATTTATAATCTTCAAAAACTAGAAACAATCCAAATGTTCATCAGCCAGTGAACCAACAAACGGTAATACTGCTCAACCATGCAAAAGAATGAATTACTGGCAAAAACAACATAGATGAATCTCGAAGACATTATGCTAAGTGAAAGAAGCCAGTCTTAAAAAGGTTACACACCATGTGAAATTCTCAAAAAGGAAACCTCTATTAGAGGGATAGCTGCCATAGGTTAGGGTAGGGGGAATGGTTTGACTTATAAAGGGCAGTACAAGATAATTTTTCTGGGGTGAGGGAAATGTTCTGTATCCTGATGATGGTGGTAATTACATGAACATATACATTTTTAAGACTCATAGAACTACACATCAGAAAATGCTAATTTTACTGTATACAAATAAAAAATAAAAGTAAAAAACCTTATGAAGTAGGAGTTTTAGTCTGGGTTCCCCAAAATAAATCCTGAGATAAAAAAATTAAGTGCTAGAAATTTATTTTTTAGGTGAACTCAGGAATCAAAAGTGAAGAAATGGGGACAAAGTGAAAAAAGCCAGACAAAGAAAGGAGAAAAGCCAATAGAGCTGCCTTAACGGGTGGCTGCTGTGGGCAATTTGAGCTTCATTGTGCTGAGAATCCTCTAAGAAGCCATGTGAAATATGTCTCAGAATCATTCCACCTGGTCGCAAGTTAAGTCCCCATCATCTCCATCTTCCTTTTGGTTGAGGGTTGCCCCTAGGAGCATAAACTCTTATGCTTCTAAGTTTTGCAAATGCCCTGGAGAGTTCTCAGGCCAACAAGCAGACAGACCCAGGCCCTTGAAGTGGGAAGATGTCAACTGTCAGGTGGGCTAAGGGATACAGGAAAGCCATTACCAGCATCTGCCAATGAGATATTAGTAATGACTGCTCTACACAGATGGTTCTGCAATTAAGTGCAGGGAAATTTACCAAACAATGAAAAGAAATGTATGCAATGTTAACAACAAAACTTCTAGTCATCAGGGAAAATGCTTACAAAATGCTAGGTATCATACTAGATTTGCCAGACTTCATATACGGCCATAGAATACTTCCCCAATAGCCTTATGAGGTAAACATCATTATCCCCAATTTACAAGTAAGGAAACTGAAGCCCTAGGCAGTTAAGTGGCTTTCCGAGGCACATAAACACATACAATACTAGGAGGTCATAAGATCAAGTCTGCCCAAAATAGAAGCCCATAGTCTTTCCCATCATGCTAGGCTAGTGCCTTCCCTGATTCATGTTGCCACATAGCATCACAGAAGGCACAGTAATTCTGAGGAAGTAGTGTACAGCATGGGGCAATCATGAATTGTGATAAAAAGCCAGACCTAAGTTACTCCAGGGCTGAGGTCTTGCTTGTAGGAATATCTGAGTCTTCTTTTTCTGGCTGTCTATGGGCATTTTATTACTCATTAGGATCTCCAATAGATTGTGGCTGAGAAAAACAAAAAGAGAGATGAGACTCAAACCAATACACTTTATACCTTACACAAATGTGTAGAAAACATTGAAACTTTGGATGATAAGAAATTGAAAATTGGCCCTGGATAATAATTATTTTTACTGCTGCTGCCTTCTCCAGCTGATTTCTAGCTATGACAATTGATCTTGTAGCTTCAGCCTCCTTGACACTGCTGTTGGAACTATACCTTTTATTTTCTTAATTGCTTCTTAATGGGTACTCCTTCATCCCTGAAGATTACTTTGCTGACAAAAGGACATGAACTTGGAGTTGTTTTCCACAGTAGGAAGAATAATATTACAGAGAGTCATCCACATTCCCTCACTCTCTCCCAGTCTCTATTGTTATCATAGTGGCTGGACACAGTTAGAGGATATAGACATTGGCCAAAGAACAAAGAAACACTAACTGACCCACGTGGGCATTGAACCCCTGACCTCATTAGCATTGTTTTCTCACCACCTTGGCTAACAGACAGCCCAATTATGAACACTGAATCAAAGAGGGAAGTCACCTCTTCACCTAGAGCCAAGAAAAGCCTACGACTGCTGGTTTATTAAAAAGGGAACGCTTCTCCAGTCAAATAATCACAGAATGGACATCCACAAGAGATTTCTTGAAATTGTCTCTACCTTGAATGGCTCAGTTTAACAAGAATTGTTGTCAATGTAGTCTAGTCTGGAAGGTAATGAAGGCTTTGAAAGCATCACTCCGAGGCAACGAATGTGCTGAAGTGTACTGGAGTATACTTTCTTACAAAGACACCAAAGACACATGCCCTGTTGAATCTTCGGCAGTTGTGATCTCCATTCCTAGCGCCCTCTTTGAATCCCTTCCACACTGTAAGTCCTGACACTTGAAGCCCTGTCTGGGAAGAGAATTATTCTTTGGAGTGTCTACTGAGGGATCTATGGCGGACAAACTTCAACAATGAGTTTGACAATGGAAATTACTCTTGTTACTCTATGAAAACACAGACATTCCTCAAAGTGGTTCTTAAAACTTCCTTGTTCTGAAAGAGAAGAGATTTGTATGATTTATGTTTGGGGGTATATAAGCATATGTGTCTATGTAATTGTTCAGGAATTTTTAAAATATAAGCTGAATTACATCTAAATAGTTTTTTTTTTTTTTTTCATATAAACTGAAGTTATTTCATTGAGCTCCTGTGATGCAATGACTGAATTGGTCAATTAAGATGTGATGCTAGTAAAGCCAAAAATAATGGCATGACTCTTAGACCAGTTATAGCCATGGGCCACAACCCTAGCTAGGGCCAACCAGCTCACACATGGTGTGATTTACATAATGAGGACAAGGAGAGAAAGCGCATGGATGGTTCATTGCAGAAACATCGTCTCTACTAGGAAAAAGAAAAAAAAGGCTAATTCTGATGGCATTGGTTTAGCTTTATACTATGCTCATATATTAAGGCCAGCACTAATTAATGAATGAGAAGACATATGCCCAGAAGCTAGATTTGGCCCATACAAAGGTGAATCACAGTTCCAGACTCCAGACTGCAGCTGTATTTCAGAATATGGTTTTACTCTGTAGAGTATATGTTGACCCTATGTATTTAGCTGCTAACGCTTTCTTCCCCTCTCCTCAACATGAGACAATAATTAAACTTCCCCCTATGTCCCACCTGCAAAGCATACACATAAAATTTACAGCCATCACAAAGCCAAAGTCATGAGTTGATCCTGACCCAATTTCATAGGCATTACTATTGTCTCAAAATCCCATTCTCCTCTACTTCCAGGTGCAAGGAAAATTACACAGCTCTGCCCTTTGAAGTTAAGTGTGTCCAGTGTAAGTAGCTTGGGCCAATGAAATGTGAGCAGAAGCATTCAAAACATTTAAGTCCTTATATTCAGCTCTCTCAATTTTGTGGTGGCAAACCTGGGCCTCCTGTTGAGATGTGAGTACTAGGAGTGCTGGTCCCTAGTCATCCTGGGATCCTGAGTGACAACAATATGGAGCAAAGACGGCCCTGACCCTATACCACCATTTCGATGTTAGAGTGGGCAAGAAATCAGCCTTTGTGTTTTAAGCCACTGAGAGTTTGGGGTTGTTTCCACAGGCTAACCCAGTTGCCTCACGAAAGAAGAAAGCACTTCAACCTCTCAGCCATTCAGACAGTGGAGATCAGGTGCCTGAAGTCTTGGGAAGAGTTCTGGGAACCTAAATGCTCACTAAGGATCTCCATTCAATACTGGCTCTGATATATGACTAGTTTTATGCCTCAGTTTTCCCTTACCATCAGCCCCTCTGAGTGGGGATTTGCCATTATTCATGCCTAGCTTTCTCCAGCCCTGCCATAACAGCAATATCAATATAGTTTTGGGTATCTCCTGCCTGCCACCTGTACTAGGATTCCATCCCCTGGCATGAATTTAGACCCCATCTCAGCCTCTCCTGGTTTGCAAGCTCCCTTCATATCTTCCCTGGGCTGCTCTCATAGCATGCAGCCACAGGCTCCTCACTCCCTGTCTGCCTTCCCACTTCAGGGCTTGGTAGTCAGGTTGTTGATGCATCTCAGGCAGAGCCCACTTGAGTTTTGAAGACAATTGCTTTTGCTATGTCCCAGGATATGGTTAAGTTATATGTATGAGCCCAGGCGAACCTGAGAAGGATGAAGTTCCAGAACTAATCCCACTTCTACAGTAGAGTGGGTAGGGAGCAGAGTCAACAACAGGTCTGAAGGAAGTCTAATCCAACAGGTGGCATGTGGACTTAGGTGGAAATTAGAAAAATGGTTGGTGTCAAGACACAATGTGGCATGAAAAGCGAAGTGTTAGCAGGAAATTAAATTGAGGTCAATACCAGGAGGCTCAGAGAAGCAGCCAACATCAGAGAAGTGTGCAAGGCAGCACAAACCCTCAAATGGATAGATGTTGGAGTACCAGTAGCATTTCTGAGATAGCTAATAAGACTGGATCCAGCTCTCAGACCCAAAGCAAATGCGAGCACATGGCTCAGAAACAAGGCCAAGGTCAACAATTCAGCTTTCTAGCCCAAGGTTTGGGGGATTGGAATAACAAAAGACTGTGCTGTCATTCCTTAAATTGTTCATGGGCAAACAATGTTTGTCCTGGAGTTTGCGAGAGGATGTGCCTATGCATAGAGGTTAAGGACGCTTGACATGAGACAAAGAGGCTGAGAACCAAGCAGGACCTAAGAGATGTCAGAAGTGAATTCAGCACATTTGCAGCATGGTCAGGCCACCATGAAAAGCAAAGGCTCAAAATTTCCAGATTGAAACAATCTGATGTGAAAACTAACAATTCAAACTCTTACACAGATGTTGACAAGGTTTTCAATCAATGGAACCTTTCTGGATTGGTAGAGGGGGTGCCAAGTGTGGACTTTAACATATCCTGAACCCCCAGGGTATATACATGGGGTAGTGCTACTAGCTTAGAAAATTGGGGTGGAGGGATGAAGAGAGAGTACCAGTCTCTATTAGCTCTGTCTGCCAGTGTTCAACAAGAACTCGCCATCTGCCACCAAAAGTATAGGAAGATTTGGATCTTTTCCTTAAGGAGCCCTTATTTTTAGTACCAAAGCAGTAAATACAGTACTGTGAAAGCATTGTTAAACAATAGGTACTTTAGTGTCAACTTGCATTGATGTGCCTCTACATACCATAGAATTGCAGAGAAGAGAGAAAGGAATGCTAGAAAAAAACCGAAGAAGTCTTCACAAGAAGGCAGATTTTGCACAGGCCTCAAGGAAGGGTAGAAATTGGATAGAGCAAAAGGAAGGGTATATCCGACAAGAGAAACAGCACAAGCAAGGTCCTGGAAGTCAGGTGTGCTAGACAAGCAGGAGGCCAGCCAGGTGGAGAGAATAGGGGTGTTGATCAGTAAAAATAAGTCGGGGCAGGTGGGCCATCCAGAAAGTAGCAACACTTGCCAGGCAGAGTAGTTTAAACTTGCTAGGGTAGAAATTAGAAAGCCACAGAACAATTCACACAGAAGACAGCGGTCTCAAAGCAAAGGAAGTGGTTGAAAAGCAGGGGGCCTAGGTCAAAGTCTGGGGAGACCTTGGGCAAGTAACCACACTGCTCAAGAGCTTGCCAAGGGGCAATAGTACCAAGAAATAAACTCTCGATGAATGTCCAATTTCAACTTAAACAGACACCAGCCCCAAAACGGTGCGAAAAAACCCCACCCTGGACTGAGAACAAACCTGGGTTTCCAGCATTTGAAACCACCGTCTTTCATACTTGAAAGCATCAGGGCCTTCATAGAAATCAACACTTCTTGACTAGCCCTCTCTAGCACCTCCATTACATCATCGCCCTTCTCAAATATGTAGGTATCTCCTGTCACCTGTACGCTGATGCCATTCCGTGGAGTGAGCAGAGCGACTGTGTCCTGAAATCGCGTCAGTGATAGGCTGGACACAGACACTCCCACCTCATCGACCAAGGATTCCTGTTCCTGGCTACCTACACAAATCACCTTCCCCTGCTAGTTTGGAGCCACAGGACAAACCAGGTCCTCCTTCTCCTTCCTGTTTTCAAAGGCCAGGCAGGAGAGATTGAAACCTGCCTGGTGGACCAGAGTTTAGCAGGACCCTGGGAACCTTCTGAGAGGGAATCCTCCTAAGTTCGTGTTTGTTGGCTTAAGAGTCCACAGTCTCTAAGATACACAGATCTAAGTTCTAAAAGTCACTAACATTTTATGTGATAGACATCATGTAATTCGGTTTAAAAGGAAGTGGAAAAATCCGTCAGTTGCTTGACTATTTCGTTTTTACCAATTTACAAACATCCAAACATTTGGGGAAATGCTTTTAACCCAAATGTCTTTAGCATCGTGCTGACTCACAGTCACACTTGGTGGCTACTTTTGATAATTTGGGGGTCACCTCACAGGATGATATTGCACTTTACAGGTATTGTGTTTTTTACCAAGTGAAAGTTTGTGGCAAGTCTTTGTTCAGCAAGTCTATTGGCACCATTTTTTTTTAGCATGTGCTCACTTTGTGTCTTTGTGTCATATTTTGGTAATTCTTGCAGTGTTTCAAATGTATTATTATTGTATCTGTTATGGTGATCTGTGATCAGAGATCTTTGTTATTATTATCATTGTTTTGGAATACTAAGAACTGGGCCAATACAAGATGGCAAACTTAATCAATATATGCTGTGTGTGTTCTGATTGCTCCACTGATAGGCTGTTCCTCATCTGTCTTCCTCTCCTTATACTTCCCTATTTTAGGAGACACAATAGTATTGAAATTAGGCCAGTTAACAACCCCACAATGGCCTCTAAGTGTTGAAGTAAAAGAAAAAGTTGCACATCTCTCACTTTAAATCAAAAGCCAGAAATGATGAAGCTTCATGAAGAAGGCATGTCAAAAACCAACATAGCAAACAGTCAAGTTGTAAATGCAAAGGAAAAATTCTTGGAGGAAATTAAAAGTGCTACTCCAGTGAACACAGGAATGATAAGAAAGCAAAACAACCTGATTGCTGGGATGGAGAAAGTTTGAGTGGTCTGGATAGAAGAACAAACCAGCCACAACATTCCCTTAAGCCAAAAACCTAATTAAGAGCAAGGCCCTAACTCTCTTCAATTCTACGAAGGCTGAGACAGGTGAGGAAGCTGCAGAAGAAAAGTTGGAAGCTAGCAGAGATTGGTTCATGACATTAAGGAAAGAAGCCATCACTGTAACATACAAGTGCAAGGCAAAGCAGCAAATGCTGATGGAGAAGCTGCAGCAAGTTATCCAGAAGATCTAGCTAAGATTGACTCCAATTTTGACAGAGGTTCTACTATAGATAAAATGCTAGCAAACAGCATCACACACTACACAGAAATCTTTCATGAAAGGAACAGTTCACTAATGGAGCAAACTTCATTGTTTTTTATTTTTTTAATTTTCCGCAGCCACCCCTACCTTCAGCAACCACCCCCCGGATCAGTCAGCAGCCAACATTGAGGCAAGACCCTCCACCAGCAAAAAGATAACAACTCACTGGAGACTCAGATGATTGTTAGCATTTTTAGCAATAAAGTATTTTTAATTAAGGCATGCACATTTTTTAGACATGTTGCTATTTCACACTTAATAGGATACAATATAGTGGAAATATAGCTCATATATACTGGGAAACCAAAAAAACTGTGTAACTTGCTTTACTGTGGTGGTCTTGAGTCAAACGTGCAATTATCTCCAAGGTAAGCCTGTACATTAGTAAGAGGGGGCACCGGCACCATTCAAAAACTCAGCGCTAGCTGTCCTCTATTGACCAGAGTTGATAGTAAGAGTTGCTGTTACAAAACTGGGCTCCTTTATAGCTGTGGAGATGATAGGATGGCTGTAAAATAGAAGTCAGGTGATGGCAAGTCACAATCAGAAGCAAACTGGGTGCAATAAGAGTATAAGCATCAAGATCAGCAAGGGAAGCAGGACTGAGGGCCACGGAGATGGTTCATAGAACTTACCATTCTAGGAGCAAACTATAAAAATATATACAGCCAACAAGGGTTCTGTGTAGTTTATATGACCAAAAGAAATCAAGGATGGAGGAGGAAGGGATTGAGGGAAGCTGCCCCAGTAAGTCATGACTCCTTGCCCAGTTTCTGGATCTGACGCCATCACCTGAAGGAAATGTCAGGTCCCATGAGGAAGGACCCTGCGATACCATGGCAAAAATTTACAGTAATAATTCCCCCAAACCCTCCCTTAAAACCACATGTGTGGCTACTTGTTCAGGTAACCACACATTAGGGAAAGGGGGATATTTGAGAACTTTCAGATACGTGAGAACTGTCAGACACAAGGTCTGAGGTGCCCAAAAAGGAACGGGGGGTCCAAAATGTCATTGTGGACCCTTTTAGAACAGGAGCATAAAGAGACAATGTAGCAAATGGAGCCCTAGCCCAGGGCTGGCTCACAGTGAGTCCACTGGGTCAATGGATCCACTCTGTGGTCATTTCCTTGGCTGCTCGTGGTGCAGTTGGAATGGACATACTTGGTAGTTGAAATTGACATACTTGGTAGGTTCCTTGGTCTGTGGAGTATGAGCTATTGTAGTGTAAGTGCTAACTGAGGGCAGAGGTGTTGCTAGTAAGGGAAAATATGAATGGGTCGTAGAGGAAGGAGATGATGAATACCAGTTGTAGCCTCAATACCAGCTCTTGCAGTGGGAACTGCAGTTAATTTTCCCAAGGAGACCATTCAAAATCCTGGAGGGGCTATTTCCAGAGTGGGCAAATTTATCAGACAAATGAAACATATCTAAGTGGCTCAAGGGGTGTGCTATACAGTGTTTACCATGATGTATACTCAGACCTACACACACATACACACATACTCCTTAAAGACCAAGACACTTATTCCCTTCCATTAGTTCACAGGTGAGTTCCTTTCTGGGGATTGCCCTCAACTGAAGAGAGCAGCCTCACCAAGGTTATACTGCCTTCCCCGGAGCAGCTCTTCATCTATTGCCAAGAGCTACCTTCATGACTGGCTCAGGCTGAACACCCCTGCCTCACTCAGAGCCAGGAAGCATAAAATTCCTGGCACTCTTGTCTCAATTTGGGACAACTCCAAAGAGCCATCCTAACTCTAGAGTTCACTGTGAGACTGGCCAAGCCCTTGTTAAAATTGTATCACAGTTCAACTTTTGCCTCTGCCCAATCCCGCTTCCCTTGGTCCCTTCTGACAGCATTCCCCAATAAGCCACATGCAGACAAATGACCATCTCAAAGTTTGTTTCCCAGAGAACCTCCTCTAAAAGAGTCAGGGGCCAAGTATCAGAGATCTGGGCAAATATGAAATATCTGAACAATCAGAGGACAGGATCTATAGCTGGTTCTGGGCTGCCCAAATAGTGCTAAACATCGTGCCATCCATCTTCAGAAGCAGATCAACCCACCTTTGCCCAGGGCCAGAGGTAGCCCTGGAGTGTGGGTGGACCTGACCTAACCTCATGAAAATCATGTAGATTCTCCAATGATTCCCAGTAATGTCCAAGGACACACAATAATATCCGATGATGACCCCATAGCATCAAACAGGCAAGGCCCCAAGGAATCCATGTGTAACTCTTTGAACCAGAGTTGTGGGATTTTTCTCAAAGGGAGAGGACTCCTGTGATTAATTTCTTGGGAGCTTTGGAGGCAGCCCTAAAAGTCAAAGCACCCAACGCAGGCTTGCAATCAGCCATTCAGAGGTATTAGTAAAGCAGGGTCTCTCTCATCTAGGAGAGTCCCAACAAGCACACCTGGATACAGAATAGCAGCGCTTCCCCACAGGTGGATCACAACCCGCCCAAGTGAATGGGTTACAGATGTGCACCGGGAGATACTGTTCTCTTAGTCTGCAGAGCAGGGACACAGGGCCTGGAGTAGCCAGAGAGCTCTGCAGTGGAATCAATCTCTCCCAAACCTTCTCAGAAAGTCCCCCTAAAGAAGCAAGATCTGATGCTGCTTGCCCAGTGAAAAACTTGGCAAAGCATCAAGTAGAAGAATGAAGGGTATATAAGAGATGAATTTGTGAATTCTCTGGATTTTATATAGATTTCTCCCAAATAATTCTCTATAGAGCTTTATTATTTTTCTATCCTGTGGTCCTAGGGGCCAATTAAATTGGCCATCAAATCTTATTGTAAAAAAAAAATTCACCTGAAAGGATGTCACCCGGGGAAGCACATACCCTTGAAAAGGAAGTGCTGAGTCTATTTCAAACCAAACTCAGGCAGGCTTCTGCCTTCCTGAGGTGAAGGCTGCGTGGATATTACCCAAGAAGTGAGAAATTAATTCTTTCTCATACTACTTATCCTTGAAGGCATAACCAACATACTTTTGAATTTTCCCAGGCATTCTTCTTCCCACTTTGCTTAATGGCACCATATGGTTTCATGTCAGAAAGAAGTGCCAGTTATCTCCTTTCTCTTTATCTGCTGCAGGGCAGTGTCCGGTAGCATCGTCTATCCAGGTAGAAAGCCTCAAGGAGACTCGGGTGGGGGTGTGTGTGGGAGACATTGCCTTTGGCAGGAAACCATGCTTCCTAGGTGCCCATGTACCTGGGCTTTCCACCATGGCCTTGACCAGGCCACTTGACATGGTCCTCGGAGAGATTCAGCTGGGAAACGTGGAAGTGCTGGTTGTTTAGGGTGAGCTACTTTGACACTCAAAGAGAAAAGAAGCACTGTAATTACCAAGAGCTGCTGTTGTGACTGGCTCACACTGAATGACCCCAGCTCACCCCCCAAACCCGGGAAGTTTCTCAGTTCTTTTGTGTGATAGGTTTTATCCTGTGTTTGAGTCAGAAGAAAATTCAGGCTCCAAAGAAAAGTTACAGCAGCTCCACCAGCTTGGCTTTGAGTGCAAAGCAGAAACTGTTTAAGATTTGCACCTCAAAGAAAGTACCAAGTATTTGTCCTGGTATCCTGTTGCTGGGTGTCAGGCTGAACAGAGAATGGGATGCTCAAGGTTTTTGTGTTTACCACCTCCTGGAATTTTTATGACAACTTTACATAGTCTTCCCCAGTTACTGAACTCATACAGATCAGAGCAAGGTCTCTTTGCTTCCAGTTTTCTCCTCCTTTACAACAGCAAACAGATTCTCCTGAGACTGGAAACATTTGTTTTCTCAGCCCACTAACTCCAACTACAGTACATTTCCTCCTTATCATCAGTATTTAGTCTGTAATTATTCCAGTCTACTAACTCCCATAGAGGTTGGGGAGAGCCGTGGCTAAATTGCATAAATCACTGATTTTGGGTCCTTCATTGTCACTAATAAACTCAGGACATGGCAGTTACTAGAGGCCCAGTGCCTCAAATTCAGCGTACATTTATGCTTACAACCTGGGGAAGGAAAAAGAAGCTGCTGACAAGGACCTGCCATGAAGGTCAGAGGTTGCATTTAACTGCATTGTGATTGCAGAGTCGATTTGTTCTCTTGTCCGAACTTGTTAATAACAGGCTAATTTGGTTAAGTTATGAGAATGGCATCTAAAACAGTACATAAATGAAATTCTAATCAAGTCCAAACCCACCCATT